CCTCTCTCTCTCTCTCTCTCTCCCCCCTGTGTCTACTACTAGGAGAACAGCACCTGTCCTTTGGCTCTATCAATGGTGTGGCCTCTCCTTTGGTTCACCCCAAAGAGTGTGATAGCAACACTCTGCTTCTTATGATTTTGGATTAGCTTTGGCACTGGGGAGTACCTGCTGTCAGCAAAGTCAGAGTATGCAAACAAGAGGACGCAAGGGGCTTTCATTGCAGGAGTGTTTGTGATGTAGGCGTTTGGGATACTTGCTGCGGGAAGAAAGAGAGATAGAGAGGGGCCGGGTAGAAAGAGAGAGCAGGTAGAGAGAGAGGGGGGGTAGAAAGAGAGGGCCGGTAGAGAGGGCATGTAGAAAGAGAGAGAGAGGACATGCCTGTCTCTACTCCATTTCATCTCTCTAGAATCAAAATCCCTGTTAAATACCCCAGAACAATTAAACTATACCTATTACTATTTAAGCAAAACTACTAAAGTTAGACCTTTTCTATTTCCATCTCCAAATATCATGATATTATCCCTAGGTGGAGCTTTAAGATCAGGTTGAGCCAGTTGAGGAAGCAAAAATCCGGCAAAGTAGTTGCACGACACAAAAGTGTGAGGAATGCCCTCCTTCTTTATCACATGTCGATTGTGAGCTTTTCTTATATAGAAATTTCCAGCTGGATCTGGGAAGTGAACCTTCTCAGGATCTACACCAAACTCCGCTGGGATGAATCTCTGCACAACCAAATAATGTATTAGGCTAACCATCTTCTTCTTGAAAGATAACAGATTAAAGCATAAAATTTCTCAATTTGCATTTCACTCTTTTGGTTATTGTTCTTATTTATTTACATGCTTGTCTTCTTCAAATTAGGACGAGGTTTTAAGAAAATCCAATCTAATCACTAGAGAATAATGATTTCTTAAAACTCCCTTATCCTTAATATGCATTAAGAGATTTGTGATGATAAAATAAACTGCAATCTCTAGAATAAATCCAAAATGGTTTTAGAAGTAACAAGGTGAAACCACTGTCCAGTGACTTGGCTACCAATTTCCCCTCTTGAGATTATGCTATGGCTACAATACTTGTGCTCCTTGGCAGATTTTTTCTGTCTTAACACCTCAATAAGTTCTTTAGAAAATTGGGAGAAAGAGGAAGAGATGGGAGAGTGAAAAGACAAAGAAGACTTCTTTAGAAGAATTAGTAATAGAGAGATGAAATGAAAAGGGGGGAGAAAGCAGAAAATCCTAAAATACATAGCTAGAATGTAACAAGTGCATCCCATAAGATGGCCAATTTAACTACCCAAGAACCTTCTTACAAAGAGACAATAATTGTAGTAAGCTACAGAAAAATCAATGCACATGAAGCTGTACCAGGTCTGGCTTATCTTCCTCACTTATATTACACATTTTGAAATAAAAAATCAATAATCCATAATATCATCATCCGAGCTTTATTCCAACTATTTTGGTTCGGCTACATGTATCTTATTCTACTATTTTGCTTTATCAAGGGTCATACCCTCAGTAAGACCATCAGTAACCATATCTCTTATCATTACATCCATCTATGCCCTTTTAGGCCTTCCTCTTGCCCTTTCAGAGCCTTCCACTTGAACCAAATCATACCTCCTAACTGGCACTGTATTAAGCCTATATTGTACAGGGCCGACCACCTAACTCTATTTTCCCTTATCTTATCGCCCATTGAAGTCACACCTAAGTTTCTTTGAATGTATTCATTCTGAAATCTATCCCTTCTTGTCTTACCACTCATGCACCTCAACATCCTCATCTCAGCTGCACTCATCCTATAGGTAATGTTGTTTCTTGACTGTCCAATTTTTCGTCTCATAAAACCTGACTGGTCTTGCAGCTGTCTAAGAGATTTTCCCTTTTAGTTTCATTAGTATGTGGCAATCACATAAAACTCCAGATGCACATCTCCACTTCGCCCACATCTTCCTCAATCTCTACAATCTCCTGGATTATCGACCCAAGATATTTCTTGGCTATCAAACTACTTCCTCATTTCTACTATTATTAATACTAAACTTGCATTCCATATACTTTATCTTAGTTTGGCTAATTTTAAATCCTTCTAAAATAAGCCCCTAAATTTCTAACTTCATGTTAACGTGGTCTCTAGTGTCATCTATCGAAACTATGCATCCGCGAACAACATACACCACCGTACCTCGTCTTTCATATATTTATGCAGGCATCCAAAACTACGAGCCTATGTTGCGTGGTCAAACTCTCCACTGGGATAACCTTATAGTCTCTATCTGATGGACGATCTACTTTCTTAACTAGAAAGAAATCTATATGGCTTTTATTTGATCCACTTTTATAAGTTATTAAATATTCATCTCGTTTTGTAGTAGGTGCTTGTTATTGCTAGGTCGTAAACCATAGCAAAATTCAAAATAGCCTCACCCATCTCATTTCTTTCCTTAAAAGTATATTCCCCTATGTACCTTTCATATGCTCTACTATCTTTTCTTACGTGACCATTTAAGTCCCCTCCAAAAAAAATCCTTCCTCCACTTGGTATTTCTTGAATTAGTCTATCCATATCCTCCAAGAATTGTCTTGATTCTATTCTCTAGTCCTACCCGTGGCACATAAGCACTAATTACATCAATTATCTCCTCCCCCAACACAAGTTTAATTAATAGGAGCATATCACCTACTCTCATGACATATACTACTTTATCATTTAAATATGTATCTATAATTATGCCCATACCATTTCTTTTATTGCTCTTTGTTATATTCCCAAGTTTATATTCATCATTTTCCTTAGTTTTTTCACCTTTCTACTTAGTTTCCTATAGGTAAACTATGTTAGCCATCCTTTGTCTCATTGTATCCATTAACTCCATACTCTAACTTGTGTCCCTACATTCCATGTGACTCTCTTGGACTAGCTTCTTTACTTGTGCTCATATAGAATGACGCAACCCTTGCCTACTTATTACCGCAACCGAGCAACGTTGCGGTGTGTTGCTTCTAGAGAACACCCTAGCTACCCCTTGCTCATTTCCCACTGAACCCAGGTGTTGGTACATCGAGTCACTTACAAGGAACACGCTAGTATGAGCATGTAACATAGGTTCAGGATTCATAAAAAGATGTGGCAAAGATTTACGCTAGTTGCCTACCTAATACAACCCTCCTTTACCCAGGCTTGGGATTGGCATGTGGCTGGCCAAAGGTTTCCATAACATGTTTCTTCAACCAAAAATCCCCTAGAGTTTCTTTAGTTCCTCTTGCTTCGCCATCCGACTCTTCTACCCAAAACCAAACAATTCATCTAACTCGTAGTTGTTGGAGGCGGAAGCAAGTCTAGGTAGGGAGTGCCGAACAACCATAGGGTGGAAGCTCCCTGGGGTTAGGATCGACGTCCATGCATTAACAAGTTAAGGAGCTAGATCCCAGGATACCTATGAGCGTGATCCCATGTCACTGAGATCGAGGTTCTGACTTGGAGGCAGGCAGGCATCGTTTCAAAAAGTGTTAGGCGGGCGCCCAAAACCTCGACAACCCAATAGAAAAAAAAGGTCTCTATAGTCTCTAACAATATAAATATAACTGCATATTGTATAAAATATAAGAATTAGGGATTTAGGGCACATCAAAATTCAAAAGTATACTACACAACACATAGGAGCACACACTCCATAAACATAACCATAATCAATATTCAATTATGAATTATTCATAGTCTGATTGATAGTCCACAGTCCACAGTCCACATTCCACATTTCACAGATAGTTAGAACCTAAAATTTACCAATCAAATTACCAAACCAAAGTTACCAAGTACCAAACCAATGGAACCACATATACACTATCCACAATACTATACCAAAAGGAGGAAAACAAAAATGAAAGAAATACTTGAAGACTCAAAAGAATCTTCAATCAATGTTCAAAGTTTAAAGATCATTCATCATTCATCATCAAAAAAAGCAGTGTCAGCTGTACTTGCATCACATGCAGTGGAGTCGTTGCTATCATCATCTCCCTCCTCGATATAATGGTCGTCCTCCTCTGCCTTTTCTAAATCTGCCTTTGCTTCCTCGTGGTCCTCCACCCTCATCCTCTGTACAGAAGATCTAGTGGCCTTAAGAGGGTCGGCTGTGTCTTTGAAACATCCATGACCATGTCCTCTATCAATCTTTCATACCCATTGACCTGATCATCATCAACCAACCACTCGATAGCATTGTCCATATTTTTTGATCCGAGGGAGTCTCTCTTATCTCTAATAGCAAACCTATCCTTCAAGACTCGATTATACTTGATATAAATTATGTCATTAAGCCACTTTTATTCAAGTGTGTTCTTTTTCTTTGTATGAATCTAACAAAATCAAATAAAACTAATTAATATAAATTATTAAAATTATTAAATATATAATAATAATACTACAAAACAGTCAAAACTAATAACTACTAAAGTACTAAATTACTAATACAAATTACCCTTACCTGCTCAAAAGTACTCCAATTCTGCTCACAACTGAACGAAATAGTGGTTAGATTTAAGATTCGAATGGCCAACCTTTGTAAATTTGGAGCACTACACCAATGAATTGGCGGCAAAGATATAAAATAAAATCATAAATAAATAATAGAATTATAGAAATGAAACTTGATTACTTGAACAATTGAACTTGATGAACTTAATAATTGTATTACCTGGATCAATTTTGGTCCTTGTCTCATCGTCATTGGACTCCCAAAAGACTTTAATGCGTACTTGTAATTTATCAGCTCATCAGCACATATAATATCCTGGATATTTGGATCAGGGACTAGCACATCTACACACTTATTAAATCCAGTCATAATTGTGTCATTTGTGTATATTCTTATCAACATAAAAAAAAAAAATGGGTTCAAATAATAACCAACTGCATGCAATGGCCTATGCAGCTGCATATCCCACTCCTCATCAATAATCTCCCAAATAGACTTATAGCGGTTCTCATCATCATCTAATTTTGGACTCTCTCTCTCTTGCATTTCTCCATAGCCTCATCTATGTAGCCCATAGATGCCTTGTCACTATCAACCATGAGGTTGGGGCTTTCATCCCACGTCCAAATTGGCCAATTGCCTCTACCAAAACGTAGAAGCTACTTAGACAAGCAGTATTGAAAGGAATGCTGTAATAATCCGTAAAAAAATAAAAATACGTAAATAAATAAAAATAATATCAATCAGTAATAATAATAATACTATAATAATAAT